TGATTTGTGTTTGGGATCATTATTCTGTTGGAACCTCCAGTTGTGTCCAAGTTCTAACTATAGTTACTGATTTAAAGTGAAGTTGAGGAAGAACAAGGTAGTCATCCTCCTATCCCGTCCACTTTGTGCAATCAGAATCAGAGAAACCTTATTAATCCCAGAGGGTAATTGAGTTGTTATAGCAGCAAATATACAACAAACATCAAGCACTCATACACAATGAGTGTGAAAACAGAGTTATGATACATAAATATTAGGATAAATATAGAGATATAACTACAACTATACATATAAATCTAAAAGGACAAGTATGTCTGCAAATATATGTCATGGTGTACATGGTGCATTGTGGTGTGATTAATTCTGTTCCACATTTGTGGATCTGACCCAAGTGTATGAATTAAAGCGTGTGATAGCAGTAGACTTGTAGTCAAGACGCCTAAACCGAGACCAGAGGGTATCGAGACCGAGACAAAAAAGGTCTTTAAACTGCAGCCAGATGCTGCTTCGTTTACGGGTGTCAGCCATATTTATGTATTTTTGCGACGCACTCACACAGCCCTCCTCTCTCACACCCTCTCTGTTTTTCACATAATATTATCCTATATCCTCGCATGTGATTGGCCACAATATGTAGGGATTGGAGCATAGCTGAGCCACTGTGTGAGAGCTGAGCAGCCAAAGGAAATTAAGTGAGGAGCGGCTCTCGCTCAATGGGAGTCTATTCTTCTGATTCACTACCAAGCACGGCTCTGAGAGCTGATGCTTTTGCGCACACATTATCAAACGTTACGTTGTGTTTCATGGATACTGTTGACTCCAGAGGCGGAGCCAGACATTTGATACACCTGGGGCTTAGCCCTAAAGGGTAGTATGCATGTGGGTTAGAAATGACTGAAAGATTTATTAGGCTGTGTTTTGAGTTTTGTTTAAAAAAGAATGACTTCATATAGGAAAAAAATATCATATATGCAGGACACCTTAAACTAGTTTTTTAATTAAGCAGCAAGGCAGAACAAAATCAGAGCTGTATCAAGACACGCAGACTAAACCCCAATTCAACCAGACCCAGAACTGATCCGGAATTAAAACAGGACTACAACAGTTCAAAATGAGGACTACTGAGGACTAAACCAAGACAGAACCAGAATCAGAACTAGATGATAATAGCACTCTCCCTCTCTCTCCCTCGCTGCTCCTCTCTCTCTCTCTCTCTCTCTGTGCTGACAATCAAGCCAAACACCAACATCATCAAATATACAGTTGAAACCAGATATTTACAAACTCTTCAAATAAAAACACTTTTTTTAATTGTGACATCAAATCAGACTAAATGTTTATTTTTGTTTAGATTGAT